TTAATTGCTCTGATAAATGTTGGAAATGTAAAAATAAGATTGGTTCTTTTCATCACATGTGGTGGCTATGTGATGTTACAAAGAGGTATTGGAGATAGATTCATGAGATAATGGAAAAAATAATAAGAACTAATATCCCGTTTACTCCAGAGATACTGTAATTGAATATATTTCCGAAAGACTTTGATAAACCAGATAGGTATTTGATAGTTCATATGTCGACAGCTGCAAGAATAGTATATGCCAAATATTGGAAAACAATGGAAATACCAACAAAACAAGAGTACGTGAACAAAATATTTGAAACGGCGGAAAATGACAAACTGACACTTGAGATGAGAGCTGGTACAGAATGGACGTTTCAAAAAACTTGGAAGAGATTCTACGATTGGTATAATGTAAATGCAACTGATAAATAAATGTAGTAATTTGAGAACGCAGAAAAGATAAGCTTAGTGGAATAAAATAGATAATGAATTTAGAAATCTAACAAGCAGAAGAAACGAAAAAGTCTCTTGTTATGTTATATGTTGTGGGGGGTAGATGGGGGTTGTTTGTATGTATGTTTGTATGTCTGTAGTATATAATGGAAAAAATAATAAAAGTGTACCTTCAGGTACTTAGAAAAAAATAAAAAAAGAAAAACAATCTTTTTCTGTCTTTTTTCAGTCAGGAAGGCATCCTTTCTCATGTAAAATTGTAATAGGGATTTCTTTCAAAATAATTTTATCTGTATTGTCAATTTTAATCTTGTATTAAAATGTTGTTGGAGCACTTGATCCCTTATCTTCTTTCTCACACAATAAACCAAAGTATCCCTTGGGACATTTCTTGTTTTGGCAAACCTAAAGTTTATTCTATAGACATTGCCACTTTCTGTCTCCATGCCTTCCTCTTCTCAGTTCAAAAAATTGCCAAAATTGTAATAATCCTTTCTCTACTATCTTCGTTAGGAACCTCTACAATAGCTCTAAATCTCAAACAGAATTTTTTTCTCTCAGTTCCATTAAAGCCAAATTGTCTACTTTTTTTCCAGCTCTCTATCCACATCTTCTGTTTTATTCTCTAAAATCATTACCTTTTCATTCATTTGCTTTACCTCTCCAGACATTTGCTTTATAGAGATTTCCAATTTTTAACTTCCTGTCATTCCCTCTTTTACTTTTACAAGCCTTTCATCCAATCTTCTTTCAAAGGCTTCTATCTTATCTTTTATCTTATTTCCAAGATCTTCCATTTTACTTCCCATTTGTTCAAACAATTTCTGAATCAAATCCGGTAAAGCTATTGTTTTCTAGAGATAAGTCTATCAAACCCCTCCTACCTAGTTTTTTTCTGGTATTTGCCATTGTAAGATAAAATCCAAAAGCAAATCTTACAAACTTTACAGATCAAGCAGTTTCACTTTTCACTCTCCACTACTTTGAGTCAAATCACCATAGCAACGGAAGTCAAAGTCTGAGTCATTCCCTTCTCTTTTGTTGTGTAAAATCCACCAATTAAGTACAGTCTTTTAGAATAAACAAAAAATAATCCCACAGCTGTCTGTTATCTTTAGCTAGTAATTCTGCTGCATACGCACTTTTGTCAGAAATAAAATTAAAATCAGAGATTAGAAAAATAATTGTCCCCTTTTGCCTTTCAAAACTCTTATATATCCTCTTTATTAAGCTTTCTGCCAAAAGTTTTTAAGTCCATAAATCCTTCAGATAACTTTTTACTTTGTAGGCTCAAAAAAAAGGCTTATCTCATTGTAAAGAGTCGTGTCTTTGTCTCAGAGAAAATCTCTTTGTCTGTAAAATTTTGACTGTTCATAAATTTTCAAAAAATGAGAACAGCTTGGCTTAGTATCCATATAAAGGCTACATTGCAGCTGTGAGAGCAGATGAAATCACAGCACTCCAGACCGCTCAGCCAGCCCTGTAGCTAAGGAGTTTTTGGGGAGGGGACCACCATCCAATCAAATCAAAGTTAATTAAATTAACTTTGATTTAATTGGTGGGACTCCTAAGGCAGCCCCGGCTGCAACCAAGGGGGGAGGAGAACACCACCAACAGCAGGTCTTGCAGGCATGCCGGGGTGCTCTCTCTCGCTCTTTCTCCGCCTCCCTCGGCAACAGGCAACCAGCAAGCGCCCTGCCGAGCTTCCCCATCTCCCTCCCTCTTGGGGTGGACATGGACAGACAAGGAGGCGGCTCCACATGCACAGACAAGGAGGCGGCTTCCCAGACAGCCACCTCGCGCGGGACACCTTGCCCCCCGCCGGGCCCGCTGCTGCTGACTCTGCCGGGCAGCCGCCGGTGCCTCCCGCTTCGCGCAGCACTCCCGGATCATCGAGGGGTTGTTCTTTTTTCCTTCTTCGAGGGTCTGGGCGAGTGGGGCGGAGGGGGCAGGAGGGCAGGTCCAGCCCGGAGAAAGTGGAGGAGTTTCTTCCGTCTGCTTTTCATTGTACGATGAGTTGTTTGCTTTGCAGCCTGGTTGGGTAAACCTTGGCTCAGCTCTTGATTTTTTAAAAAAATATTTGAGGGAGGCAGGCACCCAGGAACAGCAGCAGGCGGCACGGAGTCACCAGCTATTCGACTGAGGGCAGTGACGGGGGGAGGGAGGGGGAGCCGAGGACTGGAGAGGGGCCCATAAAAACCGTGGGGAGGCAGGCCCCGTGGGCCCCACGGGACCTATGGGCCTGTGCTCAACTCAGCACCCGGCGAAACCTCCATCTCTGCAGTTAACCCTTGAGCAGCAGCTGCTAGTAGTGCAAGTGATCTCCCTTTGATCCAGGAAGATTTCGCCAGCTGGAATTTCCTTTCTTGCCAATAACAGTGTTTCTCATTCTTTGAAGACGTCAGTCACCCATAATTCCTCACCGGAAGCCTTAGTCCTGACTCTTTTCAAAGGTTAAAAACATTTACTTTATTCATACAAGTATCCAAGAATAGTGCAGCTCCAAAAAAAACAATGTATTTGTGTTTCAAACTGAATAGATTTGTTTTGTTCTTGCTCCCATTATAGGGGAAATCACAGAGTTATTCTTTCTTCCATCAATGAGATAGGTTTTTCCCCTTTTTGGAGAAGATACAACCATCTTTTTATTTGAACTTATTATCTTAGTAACGCTGGAGCAAGGTATGAAGTTTAGATGCTGATTCAATTACAAACAGGATATAGGACTATTTATCACTAACAATAACAGTGTACATTAGCTATTCAGTTTTCAGGTGCCAAAGTTCCTTGAACTTCTAATTTCATGCAACTAACATTTGAAGCAGGAGTCACAAATATTATCTACTACAGAAACTGATGGATCACAGACTCATGTGACTTCCACATTCCCATTTCAGCTTTAACTGCAGAAAATCAGCATTCTTAGACAGCTACCTCTGCAATTCTGAAAATCCTAGAGGACAACAAAGGGCCTCCACACTTCATACGCCATTTATGTACGGGCACAACGAAACAGTAGGTATTCTGCGTGTAGCAGAACAAAAGAGCTCTCAAGGAACATGTGCCAAGGAAGACTGTATAAGTCATATTTGGTTCAGGCAAACTGGCTTGAGAAGTTGACTTATGTCAATTTGGTTAAGCTGAGCCCTAGTTATGTAGCAGCCTTACAGGTCAACGACATGGTTAACAGAAAGGTAAACATCAAGCAGTAACAAAGATGATCACATGTTTTCCACCACTAGGCTCAGAACATTAGATGAGTTAATAATGGGCCATAATACGATAGGTACAGAAAATCCTGAGGAATTTCAGATGTTTTAATGACTAAGAGATGCAGCTATTATATTCCTTTCCCATGAACAAAAACTTGTCATTCAAAAGAAAAGCAACAGGGGAAGAAGCAACAAACAGTGGCATATGCACTTTTATTTTTATTTATATAGAAAAGCTTTGGCTAACCGCACAATTAGACATTGTAAAAAATACTGAGATGCCAAGGAAAAAAAAATATTCCCATGCCAAGTTCCCTACCTTATACTCTAATGTGCAATAAAATGAGCCCTATATACCCTCCATGTCCTCATACTTCCAAACTAATCATTCTCCACATTTTTGGATGTCTCATTTATTATGGAAAGGTCAGAAGAGAACAGGTCAGAACAAAGTGAAATTTACGGAGGGAAGGAGACAGTCACAAAAATGCTGTTGCCATGTAATGCATAGTTCCAATACAAAGTGAGGCAGATTCAGTGTCATTTTACAGCAGACAGAAATTTCAGGCAACTCCCTCAGATAAATATTTAATATTCTTACCGGGACTGTCCAGCTGAGATGCTCCATTCTTCTCGCTGCCCAGTACTGCGAGATTTCGATTTGTCTTTGCATACCGAATCAGCATGTTTCAAGGTACGTTTGGCTGGAGGAGATATGTGGCTATCGCTCAAGCTACCATCGCTACCATCATCTCTCTAGGGAGGAAAAAGAAAAGTGAAAGTTTACCTCATTTTATGCCATCTGGCTCCTATCAGCAAAGAAAGACTCTATTACCCCTCTTGGGGAACATGAAATCAATGCCAGTTCATAAAACTACAGTCCAGTACTGCTTTTTATCAAGCCATGGGAATTTTATCAAATATCCAAGCCAAAACTTGGAAGTCTAATTACAGAAAGAAGGTACGGGAGAACTGAGAGTTTGCACTGTCTTTTTAAGAAGCTGTGTCAGATTTTCTAGCAAGTTGAGGCGCAGGGAGTAGTTCAGGATGCCCAAGGATAGCAAGGATCATACAATACATTCTATACAAGCTGTGGAATCTGTATGCCACCAAAAAAAACCCCTCATTCTACAGAATAATGTTTATACCTTCTCCTCATTACAGATGCAACCTTAAACATTAAAGGCAGACACTGAAGACATCAAATTCAATTGAAATTCAGAGAAGTCATCGACATTTTTTTTTCTTCCTACTAAACGGAATGAACACTTCCTGACCTCAAGGAATCCTTTCATATGGATAACTCTGTTGGATTACTCCTGCATGTCTGACATGGAAAAAGATGAAGGTGCATTCTATGACATGCACTCAGTTCTCGTTGGGCACCAGAAACGTTTTCGACCCCAAGGTAACAGCAGACAGGATGTCTTTCAAGCAGACTGTCTAGCATTACCATTCTTGTTACTGAATTCAGAGGTCGCCAAATGCAGCCAGAAAACTATATTTTAGAAGCATTAGAAAGCAAAGAAATCTGTGCATAAGCTGTAAAATAAGTGTACACGACAGATCTGTCTTGAATTAACTAAAGGCCTGTAAGTCAAGCTCACTATAAATATGCACACACATGCAATCAATATAAACTACAGGCAAACTACAAACTACCATACCACAGCCATGTTTATACATGCTATGTGAACTACCAAAGGTGTGTCCGCACTATTACGCCAGTGACGCATGTCAATCCTTTATTAAATATCCTGAGTAATTCTGTGCTAGGTAGAAAGGGAAGCTACACAACAGGTTTCAAGCCAGTTTGAGCAGAGTGTGAAAGCTCAACTGGAAGAAGCAGACGAGGCAGAAATATTGCATCACTGCCAGAAGATATGAAGCAGCAAGCTATACTCAAGCTTAATTTAAAACCAAGGGTGGTTAAATGCAAAGGATTTTTAAAAAATGAAATATGCAACAAGAAGCTAGAATATTCTACAAAATCACTCTACTGATTATTTTTTTTTTAAAAAAAAATAGTGGATAATCATTTGTCAACTTTATTTTTTTTTCCCCTACAGAGCCTGATAAATACTTTGGCAGAGTTCTGATGTGAAACTGTCAGAATTGATTTAAATAAGAGCTCAAAGGCCTGAAGTTGTTTTTGGTGAAGTTGCACAAACTCAATGATGTGTCCTAAGACGGTAATGTGAAAGTTTAAAACCTGTAACATAATGCTAAGTTAAACCACCATCACTTAAGAAGCTCATTTCCACATGATCATGACTTGCTTTAGCCTCAAACTATATGCATCAGTAGAAACAGCTAAAATTCACCCATAAAATTCAATATAACTGCCACTTAACCTATGTGTTTATAGGTTAAATCCCCTGCCACTAATCTCATCTTATTACAAAAATGTTTTGGGGGAAAATTAATGTATACAGAGGGAAATGAGTTACAGAACTCTCACAGGCAATATACCGCTACTTGCAATTCCAACAAAAAAAAGGTGTTCCAATGACTTCGCTAACGGACTAGCTACTCCCTTGTTCAACTGAGCGCTAGGCCAGCTCAGAGTTCATACAGCAGCAAATGAAGGGTATTATCAAGACTCAGACGTGCTCTCTCTTTCATATACTGTTTGGAAAAGGAAAAAAATTCTGCAAAACACAACAATGCTGCCAAAGAAAAAACATTTGAAATTGTAAGGTTAGAAACAGAATACTGGTCTGATGAGTAGCTGCCTTCAGATAAGCAAGCGCAAACAATAGATTCAGGTAGGTATGAAGCGGTAGAACAAAGTTTGAGCCCAGCAGCACCTTTTAGACCAACAAAATTTTATTCAAGGTATTTTATTCAAGGCTTTAGTGTGCACGCACACATTCTCAGACACAATGTTAGGTATGTCTACATGGAACACACAAGTGTGCCTCCTTAAAACTTCAAATCATGCCTTAGGTCAAATACTAGGTATAGGACTATAGTATAATGGAACGGCTCAGGTGGTCGCTTTTATAACAGAGACAGTTTGGTGTAATGGTTAAGTGCACGAACACTAATCTGGGAGAACCAGGTTTGATTCCCCACTCCTCCACTTCCAGCTACTGGATGACCTTGGACAAGCCATAGTTCTGTCAGAGCTGTTCTTGAAAGAGCAGTTCCTGAAAGAGCTCTCTCAGCCCTGCCTACCTCACAGAGTGTCTATTATGGGGAGGGGAAGGAGTCTGTAAGCCGCTCGGAGTGAAAAGCTGAGTAAAGAATCCAATCTCTTCTTCTTCTATAACAAATAGGATTGCCACTTAACCTATGTGTTTATAGGTTAAATCCTATAACAGATAGGATTGTAAATTGTTGCAAAGTTTATCATAAGCAGCATCACCATCCTTTTACCACATTACCTTTGCAACCCTCTTTCTGCAGTATGGTATGTCATTCCTTAGACAATTCTGTAATCCTAGTCCTATTGCATTGTTTATTGGAGGCCCATGCTGTTTGTTTGAATTGATTTTTACGCTTTGCAATCCTCCTCGAGTTTCAGGAAGACAGGCGGATAAATGAATTATTTTTTAAAAAAACTTTAGAATTACTTCCACTTACATCCAAACAATAAAAAAGTGATTCCAACTTTAAGTATGGATTGAGTGGACAGGACAAATTGTGGCTCTGTTCACCTGTGTCCAAGTCAGACTAGCGTATCTCACCCTTGATGATATATGGACCCAGAGGTTAAGTTGAAACTCCCAATATACTACATGCTAGCTTGCTTCTTTAAATTGTTAAGTGGTTCTCACTCAGTTTAAATGCAAAGACAATGAAAAGTCCTGAAATATCTTAAAGACTGGCAAATAGCAGCTGCAATTAAGAAGACACTCTGAGAGTAAGCACAGCTGAATAATAACATTGGACTTACTTCTACGTGTACCTGCTTACGATTGCTCCTATTGTGTAGTATGGGGTAAGTTACCTGTTTTTAGACCAAATACCATAAACCTGCAAGATCTACCTGTGAAGATGTTGGTGTGCGAGTCAACCAAATAGGGGTGGGAGATGAAGTTGTACTTGGCCAGAGACATTTGGAACAAGCCAAGCCCCCCCTCCCCCCCAATACCATTCTCAGGAATGTGCCTCAGATTCTGCCCGTGGTTGTGTCAGTCTGGGAGGAGATGACATAGACATACACTGCAACTGCTGCCTTCACCCATGCCCAGGAATGATACCAGTGCCTTGGATGTCGGGGTGGAGACCTGGCCTTTGGTACCAAGCAGAATGGTCTGGTTTGTCACTGTTGGCATGCATGCCAGGGCTTGCCCACCCCTGCTGTTAACACTTCTGGAAATTATGAAGCCAAAAAAAATGGGAATTGGGGGGGGGGGGGGCTGAAATTAAGAAGACTATAAAGAGGCTTGCTGTTACCTCGCAGTCCAGGCAATTTAAAAAAATATATTCCCCCACCATAAACAGGTGAATACACTATTATGTAAGCTTGTGGAAGATAAGTCTATTAATAGCTCCTAAGCCACAGTGACTATGGGGAACCTCCACATTCAGAGGCACTAAGTCTCTGAATCCCAGAGCCAGGAGGCAACATCAGGGGAGGGTCTCGGCCTCTATGCCCTGTTGCTGGCCATCCAGAGGAACTGGTTGGCCACTGTGTGAGACAGGATGCTGGACTAGATGGACCACTGGTCTGATCCAGCACGGCTCTTCCTATGTTCTACCGAATTTGGTTAATACAATAAACCACAAATTATGTAACTCCACAACTGAAACTTTGGAACAGTATACATCAATTAACTGAAAACTGGGCCTAAGGGCAAGAAATATTGAATGGCAGAAAAAAGTGCATGAAAATCAAAGGGTAACAGCCCTCTTCACAGGTACTACTGAAGAAAACAATTAAGAATGAGCATCCCAAAACAGGAAATTCTATTCGGAATGCAAGATCTGTCAGGTGTCACCCTCATCCTTATTCTATTTTCTAGAGGGTTTTTTTCCCTGTGCTGATATTTATTTCCACCAACAGGGGGCTCACTCTCCCCCAACAGCTTTTCCTACATAGTCAGTAGACTTCCTGGGTTTGTAGAAAAATCCAAAAACTAAAAAAAATCCCTTCAGGGACGGCTGAATTCCCCCCAAAACCTTTTGAAATGGCCTCTGCAGGGATCTGCTTCAGGCATCAACGGTGAGAGATTAGAATGTTGGGGGGGGGGCTTCTAACTGGCCCTGTCAGTAAAAGGGTGGGGGAAGGGCC